CAACATAAAACATAGCAATGAAGTAATTCTGATATTGATAATCCTAATCTGAAGGAACAAAAAATTTATGAATGCAAACATTAACACGTCTCAGAGGAAATGGAGACTACATTAAAAAATATATTCAGGGAAAAAAGTGAAAGATAATTTGAACTCATTAAATGCCAAGATTATTTTTAGCACATCATCACTTAGTACTTTTACACAGTTCAAACAATTGTCATTTTGAAAATACACATTGTGTGTGCAAAATAGAATGAGCTATGTTAAATATATGTACATGCACACATTATTTTACCTTCGTTTCTCAGACAATGTCATATTAATTGCAGCCATAGAAGGTGGTAAGGTTTCCCCATTGTAGAATCTATCTAATTCTACAGTAGGTATTCATATTTCAGATCATGTGTGTAATCAAACCATTTACCACAACTTTTATGTTTTGAAAATATGATATATTTTCTTATTTTATAAGGACAAATAGGTCTCAATGACAAGGACATCCCCCACCCACACACACTCAGCCTACGTCACTACAAACTTACCCGCAGGCATTCGCTGTTCCCTTCTGCCCTACGGTTGTCTAAGTGAAGGAGAATAAATACTATCATAGGTTCATTCCTTCCATCTGCGATCAACACCTATTCAGGGCTAGCTCTAGCTCCAGCACATTTTTTAAAAAATTAATTACCTTCTGTTTAATATCCTTGATGTCTTGTCTCTATTGAGCTTTTACCACTCTGCATAGAAACACACTTCAGTCTCCCAACTTAAAATGAAAACTTTTATTTAATCATGTTCTCATTTGTTTGCTTTATGATCCTTCTCCCCAATGTTACTACTAAGCTTCCCAAAGAAGATAGTGTGTTTTTCCTCTTTTTATTCCCCTATTTCATGTTCCCCATTCTCTCTCCACCACATCATTTGTTCTACTTTCCATGGGAGCAAAGAATAACATTTCTTTTAACCTGAATGTATAACATGAGTAACTGCTCAGATGCTGAAGACAGACTGACCAAGTTCACTTTGCTGTCGGCTTTTTACCTGGACACCATTCTTTATCTCTCCATGATTTAGTTTCTTTAGCTATATACAGTGGTGATAATAACACTCCCTACTTCAAATACCACAACAAGATTAAAAGGAACAATAATGGTTATGGTAACGCAAAGACTTTGGAAAAGTGCTTAAAGCCTGTCCTGATACAGGGGTTATACTCAACAAATACTGCTTGCTGTTATTATGACTGCGATAATAACGGTGATGAAAGAATGAAACCTTTTAGTTGCAATCATCCAGTAATTCTTGTCCTTCCTTTTCTCAAATACAATTAATATTTATAATCCAAAATTGTTTTTAATTTCTAGAACACTTCATGTTTTTGAAGACTACCTTCCTCTTTTACAGCATTTCTTGGGAATTTTTAATGGCAAAATTCTCTCCCATTATTTCAAAATTTCCTCCAAGGCTATATTTATTTCCCTCCTTCTGTTTGTTTCTTAAATATTAGCATTCTCTGGGATTCAGGATTCTTCATTCAGAAAGAATGAATTGAGATCAGGTTCAGTGGCTCCTGCCTATATTCCTTGCATTTTGGGAGGCTGAGGTGGGAGGATCGCTTGAGGCCAGGAGTTTGAGATTAGCCTCCAGACTGGGCAATAGTAAGACCCTGTCTCTACAGAAAAAAAAAAAAATTAGGTGTACGTACTGCAGCCCCAGCTACTTGGGAAGCTGAGGCAGGTTGAGGTTGCAGTGAGCTATGATGAGACAATTGTATTACCCTGTCTCAAATATATATATATATATATATATATATATATATATATATATATTAATTCATTTTACCTGAATTCATTTAAGTGATGCAGCCATCCAGGAAATGAAAAGCAAGCAATCTTCTCTTCACCTTTTCCTCCATATCCCCACACATTAATTACTCTAATGTTTATTGAATACCTACTCTGTGTCAGAAAATGTGCTACATGTTGGGAATCAGTGATAAGTTAACACATGGTCTTGTTGATAGGTTTATTGTGTCAACAATTAATCAGAAATACTGATGTCAAATAAGAGCCAGTCACTTCTTGCTTACATATTTTCAATGGTTTTCCATTTGGCAAAATTTTAACAAGGCCCTGTGTGTTCTTGTACCGACCAACTGCAACACTCCTTCTATCTACTATGGATTTAACTATATTATTTTGATCCCTTAAATGTACCATGTCCCTCTCATTTCAGACACCTAGTACATTTTCTCTCCTCTTCCTGGAATGGTCATCTTAACAATATATACCTAACTCAATCCCAGGTTTCTTTCAGTTTTCTATTCAACAATTGTTGAATACTAGAGGATCAAATATCCCAAATTACTCCCCCCATAGCACCATATAACTCTTCTTCATAGAATAGACTTTTTATTGACCTAGGAATGTGTGTGATATTTGGTTAATATTTGTCTGCTTCCATAGAGTGGAAGCTCTGTGGAAGCAGGGACTAAGTTTGGCTTTGCTCCTATATAACCTTGCATAGATCATGTGGAGTACAGCAATTGACACATAAGAGACACTCTCTCTCTCTCTCTCTCTCTCTCTCTATATATATATATATACATACATACATATATATACATATATATTTGTTAAAGAAAAATATGCACATTGACTATTTTCATTATAACATTCTTGAGCTAGATTTAACAATTTTAGAAAAATATCATAATGAGAACATTTATTATAGGTTAAGAAGACATTAATATTTTATATATACCAGTGATGAGGACTGCTCTCTAAGTGTTTAAAACTGAGTTCTGCTTAGTAGGCCCCTTTGATAGCATTCAAAATACAAGCTAACTTTCTGTTTTAAATCAATATAAAATTATAATTACTAGGAAAATAATTAATGAGATTTCATATCATGCCAATAGAAAAGTATATACAAAACAAATGAGTAGATAAGCAGATAAATAGATTCACTTCAACAACTACAGTAATACTTTAGAATAAAATTTATCAGCCTGTGATCTAAACATATCCTGCAGTAGAATCACTTGAAATACTTGTTAAAATGGCAAATATCTCACTCTAATCTTACTGAATCAAAAATATCCAAACACAGGGTCCCTGGATTTGAATTTCAACACAATCCCAAGCCAAAATCTTAGCAGATGTAAAGATTTAAATGTACTACATTAGGAGTTACACTGAGAATGTTCTTTTCTAATTATCTATGTTCTACTTCATTTTTACAAGGACAAGAACATCGTATACTCTTAAAAGCAAAAAGTAATAGTCTTGTTCCCAGAGACAGATTCTTAGTATTAAAAAAAAAAGAAGAAGGGAGGAAGTTAATGGTTTCACTGCAATCCACTTGATGGCTTCGTAACCATCCAGCAAGATCCTGTTTCCTAATGAGCATTAGCTAACTTGCTGAAGAGTAATGGCATTAATAAAACTTACAGTCATGATAAATCTGTTATCTAAAAACTCTAAAATCTGTTGCATGAATGTAAGTTTTTTGAAAACACAAAAGATGAGCTAGACATTTTCTTGTTAAATTATGCATATATTTGGAATAAAATGGAAGAACAAATTATTTAATAACAGAAGGCAGAGAAAAGAAAGGATGATGACTCATATACTAAAATATTAGGCCATTTGGAAATAGAATGAGACAGATGACAAGAGAAAAGCACAGAGGGAAACAGAAGATATGGCATAAGTACAAGATAAATGATAGAAGACAAGAAAGAGCAAGAAAGCAAAGGAGAGCTGGGGAAAGCAAGGCTCTATCAGAGACTGGAATTATTAGAATGCCAAAGATGTTTGGAAAGCCAAATCTCATTTAAGGAAGTTTTTTGTACTTCCAGTTTTCAAGCAGTGTAATGAAATTATCAGTTCCCTTTCTGTTGAATAGTAGCATTAATAAAAAATTAAAGTAATATAAAATAATGTTTGCTATAATTCAACAGGCTTATCTTCAATTTATATACAAAGCACTCAGTGTTGTAGGTTAGCATATTTTTAGCATAGTCTTTTTATCTCTGCCCTATCATATTCTTTAGACCAACTGTGATTTAGAAAATAAGTTTTGTATTAAGCTGGATGGGGTTGGAGACCATTCTAAGAGAAGTATCACAAAAATGGAAAAGCAAACACCACATGTAATCACCATTAGATTGGAACTAATTGACCAACACTATGTGCATATATAGAAATAGCATCCATTGGAAATCAAGCAGGTGGGAGGGGGGTAGAAGAGGGGGGTAAATTTACACCTAACAGGTACAACATACACTATCAGGAGGGATCGGCACACTTAAACTTTGACATAAATGGTACAAAAGCAAATTATGTAACCAAAACATTTGTACCCCCATAATATTCTGAAATTTAATAAGGAAAAAAATAAGTTTACTCTACTTCATAATATATCAACATTTAAAAATCAGAACAATGTACTTTTCAAAATGTCCTTTTCTATGAGCCTTTATAATATTTGTGTGGTCTATTGTTGAGTATTTTTTTAAATAAGTTACTAAAAGAGACTTCTTGTTAAGGTTATTTACAGTTAAGGTTCAATTTTAATTAGTTAATATCACTAATGCTATCTAGGCTATCTTCTGTTGCAATTAAAGAATCACCATGGCTTTATTTTAATGATGTTTTAATTCTTTGCATTTAGTTGAAATACATTTTATTTAATTCTTGGTTGATATAATTGGGACATTTTAGTGAGATTTGAGCAGAGACAAAACATGAACAAAGATGCAGAAGGTTCATTCATGGGTAGTCTGCATCAGATTTTCTACATTTGCCCAATATATTTCCTGAAAGATCTGAAGAGTCAGACACAACCACAGTTAAAACGTAATTACATTTCAAAGAGAAAATATTTTAACACTTTAATGGCCTGACAGCATGGATTATTCATACCTCTGCCAAATTTCCATTCATGGGAAGATGGGTAAATTGTCTAAATCATGAAAAGTATGCTGTTTTTACCTTCTTTAAAGAAAGGATCCCTTCTCTAGTCTCTTTGTCCGTGGAGATGGAGAATATCCCAACACCATCACCATTTATGATGGAGTATGTCATGTCAGCATTTGAGCCAGTGTCTGCATCATTTGCCTTGATTTTCCCAACAGCTGAACCAACTTGAGCTGACTCAGGAACGTACAGCTGGTAGTGCTCTGAAAATATTTGATATTAAACTTATTTAATAATAACGTTCATAAAATAATATTACAAGGAAAATACAATAAATATTTAGAGCATACATTCAAATAAACATTATATTAGCTAATGCATCAGATGGAGTTTTTCAGATTTTAAAAGTACACTATTTAGTAATGTAACACTAGATTTACATAAAATACTTTACATGAAAAGAATTTTAATTTCAGAATATAAGATATTTTATTAGCTTTACACTGTTGAGCAACAGAAAAATAGATAAGAGGTCAAGTTGCATACTTATATTGAACAAAAACTGAATTAGCCAAATATTGGTATAATCTGAATGTATTTCTAGCTCCATAAAGCATGCGAAATTCAAGTATAAAGTATGGAACATTGGAATTCAATAGGAAAACAGAGAAAACAGAAAAAAGAAGGACAAAGCCCAGCTATGAATATAGTTATATATATTACTATGGTATGAATATAGTTTATATATATATACATATATACACACACACACAGATAATTACTTTTACCAAGAGACAAATTTAGTGAGATGCATAAGCCACAATAGAGAAATATAGTAAATGTATTTATATATTCATTTACCATAAATTCCCTATCAGCTTCTAAAAATGATTGGAGGTGGCTTTATAATAAAGTCATAAATAATATAAGGTTATAATGAATCACCAAGCTGCAGAATCAAAAATAAATATAATGGCTACATATAATGAAACAGAGTTGGTGAATTATCATTAATTTTGACAGTATATTAACAATGATAAGTACTATTGAGTCTATAAAACTCATTGTCTATATGCAGAAATATTGATTTTCCAAAATTTGTCCTAATATTAAATGTTGAATGTAACTTTTCCTATAGTTACTTATGAAATAAATAATAAAAAGCATAATTAACATGTTTTAATAACTTTTACTGACAAGTTAGAAACATGTTTAATAAAGCAAATTATTACAGAACATTCAAAACAGCATTATAAATAACAGAAACCCAGGAATCTTTAATTAAAATGTAAGTTGACAAAATAATTTTAGCCAAGATTAAATTATTGGTGATTCAATATTATATAAGAATATAGTTAGCCTTTATAGATAAGTGAATATGGAGCCTCTATGAAAATAATTTCAATAAGCTAGTATTTGTCAGTTGTGGCATAATACTAAAAAAAAAAGTCTTATTTAGTAAATGTTAAAACATTGTGGAAAGAAATTAAGGACACATATTGTAAACATCACTATAAATCATCAACAGCAACAAAACCAACAAGTAACCCAATTTTAAAAGCTGGCAAAGGACTGAAATAGAGATTTTCTTCACAGAAGATATATATAAAAAAACTATTATCAAAAAAAGAAAGAAAGAAAAGTAAAAGGAAATAAATGTCGACAGGTATGTGGAGAAATTGGAACTCTTATACACTATTCATGTGGAAGTAAAATGGTTATAGCCATTATGAAAAACAGTGTGAAGATTTCTCAAAAAATTAAACATAAAATCACCGTAAAAAGTGGGGTCTTGAAGTGATATTTGTACTCTCATGTTCATAGCCACATTATGGATGCTAGTCAAAAGATGGAGTCTACCCAAATGTCCAGCAACAGATAAATGTATAAACAAAGTGCAGTATATACACACAACAGAATATTAATCAGTATTTTTAAAAAATAAGTTCTTATTCATTCTAGAGAATGGATGAACCTTGAAATAGTGTGTTTAGTTAAGTTAGCCAGACACAAAAAAACAAACATTGTGTAATTCCGCCTATATGAAGTACATAGAATAGTAAAACTCATAGAAAAACAGAAAGTTGAATAATAAATAGCCAGAGATTAGAGGGAAGGGAGAATGGGGAGGAACTATTTAATGGGTACAAAGTTTCAGTTTGGCAAGATGAAGAGTTCCAGAGATGAAAGGTAGTGGTGGGTGCATAAGAATATGAATATATGTAGTAACAATTAACTGTACACATCATAATTGTTAAAAGAGTAAATTTGTTACATATACTTTGACACAGTAAAAATAAAATCAGCATGTGAACAGTTAGTACTTGAACCTTTCTTCAGAATGGAAAACAATGAAGGACAAATACCAACAAATGCTGGGAAACATGATGATGAAAATATGACCAAAAATTCTAAAAAAGAATATAATATTACTACAAAAATATATAATTGCCTTCAAAATGCTAGTTTTGCTGTGCTTTTCAATATGTGAAGCTTAGATTCACTGAGATATGAGATACTGTGATGTGCATTGTTGAACTTTAGGCACCAAGTTATTTGCAGTGGATTAAAAAAGTATTTTTTTTGTATTTCAAATATATGTGAATAATTTTAAATGGTATTCTTCCTAATTAGCAAAATTTTTCTTCTAATTTCTTCAATTAGTGCCAGAATTATCTATTTTGCCTTTAAGGCTACATAATTTTATACAGTTTAGACATACATATATCATTATTTCATATTTTTATTTCTGAATGTCCCATGATTTCATATGCTACATGCAATCCTTTTCATATGATATTTTAGACTGCATCATAAAGTGCTGATGATTAGCTGAAGTACTTTTAAAGAAGGAAGACTTGGTGAGAATAATAACAGGTCAAATCATTCATTGAAGCTTGTCCTTTTTGATACACTTTTTCCCCAACAGTATTGATTCTAATTGCTTTTTAAAGCCTTTGTATCTTTGCTTCAGTAACTTTTCCAGTTACTGACCAAGTAATTCCCTCTGATTCATTCAAGGCCCAATCCTAGAAAAGCTAAAATCAATCTGATCCAAAAAAAAAAAAAAAAGCCCTGGAGAAGATGAATTTACAGCCAAATTCTACCGGACCTACAAAGAAGAGCTGGTACCCACAGAAATTATTGTACAACATTGAGTAGGAGGAGTCCTCTCCAAATCAGTCTACAAAGCCAGTATCACCTCCATAACAAAGGCAAGAAAGACGCAACAAAAAAAGAAAACTACAGACCAATATCCTTTATGAATATAGGTGCAAATATCCTCAAAAATTTACTAGTAAACTGAATTCAACAGCATATCAAAAATAAAAATTAAAAAATCCACCACGACCAAGTGGGTTTTATACCAGGGATGCAAGGATGGTTCAACATACTCAAATCAATAAATGTGATTCACCACCTAAACAGAAGCAAAAACAGAGATCATATGATCATCTCAATAGATGCTGAAAAAGCACTCCACAAAATACAGCACCTTTTCATGAAAAAAACCCTCAACAAACTGAATAGAAGGAACATATTCAAACATTATAAAAGCCATATATGACAAACCCACAACCAAGATCACAATGAATGGGGAAAAGTTGAAAAGCTTCCCCCTAAGAACTGGAACAAAACAAGGGTACTTACTGTCACCACTTCTATTCAACACAGTACTGGATTTCCTAGCTGGAGCAAATTACAATTAGACAAGAGAAAGAAATAAAGAGTATCCAAATCAGGAAAGAGGAGGTCAAACTATCACTTTTTGATGGTCATATGATCATGTATCTAGAAAATCCCAAAGACTCCACCAAGAGACTCCTGGATTGGTAAATACATTTAGTGAAGTCTCAGGCTACAAAATAATGTATATAAATGTATCAATGTATATAAATGTATCAATGTATATATATCAATGTATATATATCAATGTAAATATATCAATGTATATAAATAAGTAGCATTTCTATATATCAATAACAGTCAAACTGAGAGTCAAAGGATGCACTCAATATCATCCATAATAGATGAAGAAAATAAAATACCTAGAAATATACTTAACCAATGAGGTGAAATATCTCTACAAGGAAAACAATGAAACACTGAGAAAATAAATCACAGATGACACAAACAAATGGAAAAGCCTATCATGCTCTTGGATTGGTAGAATCAGCATTGTCAAAATGTTCATATGCCCAAAAAGTGATTTACAAATTCAACAAAAACCCCATCAAAATGCAATGTCATATCTCACAGATATAGAAAATATAATTCTATGCTTCATAAGAAAGAGACCAAATACCCAAAGCTATCTTAAGCAAAAAGAACAAATCTGGAGGTATCACATTACCAGACTTCAAACTATAATACAAAGCTATACTAACCAAAACAACATGGCATTGGTACAAAAGTGGAAACCTAGACCAATGCCAGAACACAGAACCCAGATATAAAACCATCTACTTACAACTAATTATCTTCTACAAGCAAACAACAACACACACTGGGGAAAAGAATCCCTATTCAATAAATAGTGCTTGATAGCCACATGCAGAAGAATGAAACAGGCCCTCTATCTCTCACCATTTGCAGAAATTAATTCAAGATGGGTGAAATATTTAAATGTAAGGCAGAAAAAGAAAACTAAAAATTTTACAACAAAGTGTAGGAAAAATGCTTCTAAATATCAGCCTATAAAATAATTTATGACTGACTCCAACAGCAATTACAAGAAGAAGAGAAATAAATGAATGAGACTTTACCAAATTAAAAAGTTTTTGCACAGCCAAGGAAACAATCATTACAGTGAACAGACAACATACAGTATGGGAGAAAATATTTGCATGCTACACATCCAATAAAGGGCTGATAACTAGAATCTATAAAGAACTCAAACAAATCAGCAAGAAAACAACAAACAACCCCATTAAAAAGTGGGCAAAAATACATAACAAAAGCTCTTCAAAAGAGTATAGACTAATGGGCAATAAATATACAAAAAAAAAATGCTCAACATCTCTAATCATCAGGGATATGCAAACTAAAATCACAAAGACATATCACCTAACTCCAGTGAAAATGTCTTTTATCAAAGAGTCCCAAAACAACAGTTGCTGGTGTGGATGCACAGAGAAAGGAACACTCATACACTGTTAGTGGGACTGCAAACTAGTACAACCTTTAAGGAAAATAGTATGGAGATACCTAAAAGAACTAAAAGTAGGCCTACCATTTCATCCAATAATCCCACTATTGGGTATTTACCCAAAGGAAAAAAGTCATTTTATCAAAAAGACACTTGCACTAGAATGTTTATTGCAGCACAATTCACAATCTCAAAGATGTGGAATCAACCAAAATGCCCATCAATTCATGAGTGGATTAAGAATGTGTGAGATATATATACCATGGAGTACTATTCAGCCAGAAAAAAAAAACAAGAATTAATACCTTTTGCAACAATCTGGGTGGAACTGCAGATCATTCTTCTATGTGAAATATCACAAGAATAGAAAAAACAAACACCACATGTACTCAATGTTAAATTAGAACTCATCGATCAGCACTTGTGCACAGATGGAAATAAAACTCAATGGAAATCAAGCAGGTGGAAAGGTGGAGGAGGGGATGAGTGAAATCATAACTAATGTATACAATGTACATTATCTGGGTGATGGGTACAGTTATAATTTTGACTCAAGCAGTACAAAAGCAATCCATATAACCAAAACATTTGTACTCCTGTAATATCCTGAAATAAAAAAAAAAAATTCTTCAAGAATATAGACAATTGAGATGTATGATAAACTTGAACTAATTTACATATGCAGAACCTAAACTATGCAGCTGCAGAATTCGCTCCTTTAAAGTACGTAGGAACATCTATAAAAATCAGCTACATACTGGCCTTTAAAAAAAACCCTCAACAAGTTCAAAGTATATGCCTGCAACCATAATAAAATAAATAGATATCATTTTCTAAAGACAGTGGAGAGACCTCAGCTCTTTAGTAATAAAAAAATAACACTGCATATTTTGATAGGTCAAAAGAGAAGGTTTCCTTACTTTTATTTGTTCTAAACACAATATTGATGCTTTGTATATTATATAATATTTAAATTAGTTTTCAAATAAATATAAATAATAAATTAAAAGCAATGGATCTTCCCTTAAAATATTTTTATTTGACAAAATTCCATTAATGTCAATAACTTCATCAGAAATATTTTCTTTTTCTTTAACATTAAAACTTGCTCAAACCAATTAAACTCTTGTTATAGTGACTTTATGGAAAATACTGCCATCTATTGAACTTTTCGGACTTGATCCTCCACTGCTATTAGATATATTGTACTAAACTCACTGTAGTTACAAGTGCACGGAAGTTGTTGGCTGACTTACAATTTTGTAATCATTTCAAGTTCTTGAGAAAGTTATGCTTTATAACCAAGTTTTTACTGTTTTATTGTGATTATTTGGCATGTGTTATTCTTCATTCCCTAACTAAATTATTTACAAAGACAATTCTCAAAATATAGCTCCTTCCATTTAGGATACAGAAGATTTGCTTTATGAACTTTCACATAAAGGTCTAGATTTTACATTCATATATTTTATGCACGATAATCAATGTCAGTGATTTCTTATCTACCTAGGAATAAATTATGTAACGACCAAAACATAGAATACTATTAAAATCAGAAAAGGAAATGGCAGAATCTTAAGAAGCAAAATGGATAAAGAACTAATATTGAGGAAGTTTATATATTGAGATAGATATTTTTCTCAGAAGGAGAACTGGGCATCACTTATGTATTTTGAGTGGAGATACAGACCATAGATGTGGTGATTTATTTTCTTTCACTGAATCTATTTTTTTTTAAGTGGCTCTCTTTCCCAACACCTTCCAGCCCACCTTGAACTTAGTAGTGGTTACTCTCTTAGTTGGACTTTAACTGTCCAGCCTCTTTTCTCCCCTTCTGCCTTCCTGATACTGACAGGCAGCTTGTTTCAGCCAGGACCCCTATTTGCCTTGTATCCTAGGCCACTGAGTGTGCAACACCCTAGAGACTTTGTAAAGAAAATGACTAGCTTTAATTCACTAACTTTCAAACACTCAGAGCCTACTTAAGATAAAGTGATAACTAATTACTATACAAAATATCACTACCCTATTCACTCTCTCGGGCATGATAGGTTAATAGAAAAAAATGCTTTGAGGGAATATTTTTGGCAAGTTTTTTTGTGGGGGCCGTTTACACTAAAGTCAATTACAGTAATGGTGTGAGAAAGATGGCTTTCTCAGGTGAAGAGAGAAAGAAGGTGAAAGCGCTATTGTAGAAACTTCACATGTTAAGAGAAACAATTTGAATACTGGATCCACTTGATGACTGAATATGATCTTTCTGTAACTTGACTTGTGTATAGATTTATGCATCCATGTCAGAGTGTGTCATGAATGCAAGTCTTCAAAAGATATCATTTTTTCTATAAGTGGTTTATAAATTTTCCCCAATATGTATATTAATGAGTTAAATGCTTATGGGTGTATTAAAGAATACTGCAAGCTAAAGTAAAATATTATCACAGTGACACTAAATTTTTGTGAAAGGAGCATCGTGTTTTTGTGCAATTGGAGTGCAAAATAAAATATTTTTACACAAGCCAGCGTGTAAGGTTCTGAGTATGCACTGTCTCCTTTTCAAACCTGTAAGCACCTCTGGAAGTGCAGCAGCATTTACATCTATCAATCATTCTTCTGAGAATGCTACTGATTGAAGAAATGTAGAGACTATTAGATAAAATACGTTCACTCAGAGTATACATTTATTCTCTTTCTTTGCCAGTAAAGCAATTGTTTTATCCTTAAACTGTTCAACAGTAACACTGTTATTGATCAAGATAATAAAATCAGAAACAAACCTTTCTATATTCCATATTTATATTCATCTACATGAATCATATTCTCAATACTTCTCACAATTACAATTTTATGTTAATATCTAAAATCAGTCTTAAAGCACTTGTAAATTTAAAAATTATTTTAAGGAGAAAAAGAGGGGCAAGGAGTGGAAGATGCTATCTGTGCTACAAACATTTACTGAGCCTTTGCTGTGTACAACCTGAGTATTCAGTCTATCAAGATCTATAATATAAAAAATAGTGGTGGTAAAATCTATTTGAAAATAATGCAGAGAAGTTATTATTGTAAATTACATTAAAGTTTAAATTCAGTTGAGTCTGGCATTATCATTTACTACCTGTTTTTAATCTTCAACTTCAGTTGCCACATTTTATGAAATAATAGTTTTTGTCTCATAGTGATGTATGTGTGTATGCATATTGTATGAACTAAGTGATAAAATACATATAAAAGCTCACTTTATTTTGTAAAATGATTTAAAATTTAATTATATTTTGTGGTTCAATATAATATGGACTTATTTATGATCTATAATTTATTAATACTTTCAAATATACCTTTTTCATAAAGACCACATGCATGAACCAAGTCAAATAATCTTATCTATATGATCAATATTTTAAAATGTATTTTATTTAACTTTCAACTTGACTTGTGTGCCTTTTAACAATGGTCTTTTAACAATAGTAGTTTGATAGAGTATTTAAATTCAACTAATTCACTCATTCATTTAATAATCATTTATGAAGTGCTGGGCACTCAGCTGAACACTTAAGGTTACCAACAACAACAACAAAAAATCCAAACATCGTTGTTACTTAGAGGATCTCACCATAGTAGAGGAAGTACGCACCTGTGGAAATAACTATAACATGAACATGCATACAAAAGTACCGTATGAGAGGAGCAAAATTATTGGGTCTCTGTAGATTCTACAACAGAGATTCACAAGAAACTTACAACAGGGATTTAAACAAGGGATTATGAATATGGAGAAATTCTAGTTTAAGTAATGATGTGTGCAAGGTATTACTATATTTTAGAAGGAGGTAGTATTTCATTGTGGCTAGGCCTGGGGTATACTGAGAGTGATATTAAGAGATAAAGCTGTGAAAGGCATTTCATACTGACTTGTGAAGAGCCTTTATTGACATACCACAGCATCTACTATATGATAGTTTGTAGACATCATTTCTGAGATGAACATAAGGGACAACTCCTCTATAGGGTTTTTATGATTAAAGGTTATTTTATAAAATGTCATCCACAGTATCTGCCATATTAGAAACACTCAAATTTATTGTAAGTGCATCCTTTATATCATGATAATGTTATAAGTGCCATACCCTTCCAAATTCACAGGATTAATACCTCTCCTTTTTCCCAAATTGCCTGCTGGCACAGACGTGTGTGTGTGTGTGTGTGGGGGGGGTGTTTGTGTGTGTGTTTGTGTGTGTAGAACACTGTTTCATAATATGTATTTAAAAAATTAATCACGGAAAGTACATATGTAATAACATTGCATAAGTAGATTGCTGATATCAAAATACATTTTAACATCTCTATGAATACTTTAAGAATAAATATGCAAGACTTCATTACTTAGTATAGTACCACTATATTAATATATAACTATGATGTTAACTGAAACTCATACTTTTAAAATGGGGCCAATTATCTTCCAGGTTCCATAGACAACAGGTGATTTCTTTAGTCTTGCATAAATAAGGGTGACCATATAGAACAAAAACAAAATATTTCCACTTAAGAAAATAGTAACATAACAATATTTATTCAAGTATTCCATTTTGCTTTACATAAACAGATAATGGTAAATCCAAATCATGGAAAACAGGTACGTACTCTGAGGAAACCGTGGTGGATTGTCGTTGACATCAGTCAAGGTGATATTGACCGTTGTAGATCCCGAAAGCCCTCCAACTTGCCCAGCCATGTCTTTGGCTTGAATGACCACTGAGTAGTGTTCTCTGGCTTCTCTGTCCATGTTATGTAAGGCAGTTCTAATAACTCCTGTAATATACATGTCGAAAAAAACATTATGAGTTATACATTAAACAAGAATCAAGTTATATATCATTTTTTGTTTGTTTTCAGAAAGGTCTTTTTAAGTAGCATACGCTTGAGAGAAAGCCACACTTCTGAGAAAAACAGTACCTTAACAATGCACAAAAACTGTCTCATTGAAACATTCATTTATAACCTCATGTCCCAAAGCATTCTATTAGTAGCAAATACCTACCTGTCTTTATTCATTGAGGTAGGTGGTCGCTCAAGAGAAGCCCTGCTGCCCAAGCTTGCTACTCTTGCTGGTGTGCTGAACATTTTATAGCTTGGGCTCCTCAGAAATGTCAATTAAGATGGTCATATTGATTGACCAGAGATTAATTTTCCTCTTTACAGAGCAACTTCCTTAAAAATTGTCAAGATTTGATGATGGAAGACATTAGATGAGTTTGGACACTTTGAACAGAGATTTTAGGCAAGAGGCATCATTTTAACAGTTATCAAAGACTAAGAAACTCACTATTTTCATCATAAAACAACTTTAACCAGAACTAGATCTAAGTATATAAGTAGAATTTTAAAAATAATTCTATAAATACATGTAAAAGTAACATTCTTTATCTTAATAGTGCAAAGGGGGACTTTTGACACACTTTTGCATGAAGGATACTTGGATTGAATAAAGGAATGAGATATTATATATTCATTTGTGATTATACATATATAACACCTACCCCCCATACACACATAAATACCTCTATCAATATAGTCTTTATGACTGAAAACACATTTTCCAGAGGACCATGCTTATCCAGGGCCTATTAACTATGTCATAAAATAATAATATTTTCCTTGTGTAAATGAAGTAAGTTACAAATATATACAAAAAAATATATATATTTATATATATGTATTTTTACTTTCATGTATATACATATAAACATATGCTCTCAATATATTTGTTACTCCAAACATGGGCCATCATTTAATAAACTCCCTTTTATTTTTAATAAAAATAGTTGAATTATGCCATCTTTGAAAAATACACCAGTAACTTTAATCAAAATCACATGTGATTAGTCAGTAGAACAATTCATAAGAAGTTACCAATTATAACTGCTAACTATAGTGTTTACCAAATATATTGACCAAATATCTTGATATATGATGAAAAATAAAGTTGAATCTTCAAGTTAAAAATAGCATGTTAAAAGTAGGAAGGATTATTCAATCACTTGTTTTGAATATAGAACATTAAACAACTGTTTCTTTGTTTTTTTTAACTGACTTGATTGGCTGTGTAATAATGACTTTGAGAGGAGAGCCTCAGGCTTCAAGAAAAGGAAATAGTGTGAACATATAATTGAAGGAATTTAGAAAAAACTTTCCTGGAGCTAAATAGATATGAAAATTACTCTTACCAAAAGAAGTTATAATAATATGATAATAAATGATTCATCTAATTTATGTATATAAAAAGCCTCAAGCACCTTTATTAAAAAAACAATGTTTATCATATATAACTATTTAACTATGAATTGATATAGAAATGAATAAGCAAATTATTTATGAAAACACTTTATGAAAAGAATGTGTATTTTCTAGTTTTGGGGAAGAAAAAGAATCTTTCCTAAGAAGAATGAATTATAAATGGGACTTGCCTTTAGTGGGGAGAAATATGAGATTCTTATCAAAGCTAATGTTTTTCAAAATATCATTAATAAAATGATGTTTTGCAAAATATACATATCTAAAAGTAAAACTAATCATTACAAAGTAAATGATAGATATCTCTTTTACACAATTTGAATTTAGTCCTTTAAGAAGATCAGAGAAATCAGCAAAATGTCCTGTTTATAGTGTGAATGTCAGTAATTTCATTACAGTGCCATTATTTGCCTTCTTTTATAATATAGCAACTTCCAGAACAAAGTGGGAAAACCTTGTCAACTAAATTTGCTCATAAAAGAAAAAAGCAAATCCAGAACTGACATATACTTCCCAGAAGTGATTGTCTCAGGATTCATTTAAACTCACAACTATCTTGAATGTGGCCAATTGCATTAGTTTAGCTATGACCTCTCATGGGGACACTAAGGTAACCGGGAAGAATTATAGTCAAACTGCCATAGTAACGTTATTTCAGGACAAGATAATCAACTTCTATCATGCAGCCCAATGCATGTTACTGGGGTGGCCTAAACTGCAGCTGATGCACAGTAATTTTCTTTTTCCTTTTAAATAGACATATTTTAGGTTTTGCTAGTTCTAGGTCCATCCACAGCAAAACTGAGCAGAAAGTACAGAGAATTTCCAAATACACTTTGCCTCCTCCCTACACACACCCTTCCCCATTACTAACATCCTACACCCAGAATGGCTTATTTTTATGATTTATGAACCTACCTTGATACATCATTATTGTCCAAAGTCCAGAGTGTAAATTATAGTTCACTCTAGGTGTTATACATTCTATGGGCTTTGACAAATACATAATGACAGGTATCCACATTATAGTATCATACAGAATAGTTTCATTGCCCTAAAAATCCTTTCTCTTCTATTTAGTCCTCCCTTCCCTCAACACTGATCATTCTCACAATCACTGATGTTTATAGAGTCTCTATAGTTTTGCCTTTTCTGGAATGTAATACAAATGGAATCATACAATAGACAGCCTTTCAGATTTTCTTTTACTCAGTGATATGCATTTAGGTTTTCTCTGTCTTGAAAATGAGCTTGGTAGTTCATTTCTTTCTAGCGTCGACTAATAATTCCATTATCTTGAATGTATGACAGTCTATTTAAGCCAATCACTTACTGAAGGAAATGTTGGTTGCTTTAAAGCAATGGTGATTATAAACAAAACTGCTATTGAGATCTATGTATGAGTTTTTGTATGGGCATACATTTTCAACTCATTTGGGTAAATATCAAAGAGCATGATTGCTGGGACATATGGTAAGAGTGTGTTTAGTTTTGTAAGAAATTACCAAATTATCTTCCAGAGTGGTTGTGCCGTTTTACATTTCACCAGCAATGGATGAGAGTTCATGTTTTTCCACACCCTTCCAGCCTTTGGTATTTATTGTCAGTGTTCTCGACTTTGGCCACTATAAAAGCTGGGTAGTGGTATTTAATTGCTGTTTTAATTTGTATTTCCTTGATGATATATGAAGTTGAACATCTTTTTATATGTTTATTTGTCACCTGTAGATCATCTTTGGAGAGATGTCTGTTCATATTTGTTGTCCATTTTCAAAAATTGGGTTGTCCATTTTCATATTGTTGATGTTAAGAGTTATTTGTATATTTTAGGTAACAGCATGAATTACTCAGGGTTCTTCAAAAAAAAGAAACAATAGGAAATTTTATAATATATGTGTGTCTATACATATATACATAGATGGGTGTATATATGCACACACTAACACATGTATATATGGAGAAAAACTTCTCAGGAGAAATTGGCTCATGTCATTGTAGAGAATGACAAGTCCCACAATTTCAGGAGACCAAGAAAAGATGATAGTGTAATTCAGTCCAATTCTGAAGTCCTGAGAAACCAGAAATTCAGTGGTGGAAATCCCAGTCCAAGGGCAAAAGATCAATGTCCCAGATCAAGTGGGTCTCACTCTTGCTCAAGCTGGTCTCAAACCCCTGAGCTCAAACAATCCTCCTGCCTCGGCTTCTCAGAGTGCTAGGATGACAGGCGTGAGCCACTACACCCAGCCAATAGCTGACTTTTTTGCAGAATAAAATACATATTTTGAATAAACAGACACATGCACACACATCCTCCCTCCCTTCATACACATGCTGATATTTCTTCCACTTTTACCCAGGAAGGCACATTTGACAATAGTGAAAACACTAAGCAGAATGATATTTTTTGATAAAAAATAAATTAAATGTGAAACTGTTTAGGCAAAATGTCCTATGGACTGGTTTTCTCAGGATATTTTCAGATTAATCCTGTCCAGGCTTAACTACTGAATTTCAGGTTTTTATTCTATACATGTGGCAATTTGGGTGGTCAATCATTCAGTCACCTTAATTTATGAAATATCTATATTGTTTTTCAACCTGTACTATGCTTATATTTGTCTTGAAATTTCCCTAAAGAATAAATTGCTTATTTACATCCCCTGAGATTCTGATTTAGTAATTCAGAGTTGGGTTGTCATAGGTACATCTCTGATTGACTACCCTGTTATTCTGCTAGGATACCATAACAAAATACCATTGACCGCATGGCTTAAACAACAGAAATTTATTTCTCACAGTTCCAGAAGCTAGGAAGTCTGAGATATAGGTGCCAGCTGGTGAGGTCCCAGATCTCTTACTGGCTTGTACATATTAATAACTGCCTTCTTGCAATGTCCTCACTTGGTCTTTCTTCTTTGCAAGTATTGAGGAAGGAGGATCTCTCTTCCACTTCTTATAAGGTCCCACCTTCATGATCTAGTTAACCCTAATTACCTCCCAAATGCCCAATATCCAAATACCACCACATTGGGGCTTAGGGCTTCATCATATGAATTTTGGAGGGATACAAACATTCATTTTGATTCCAGTGCAAGTGAGTCAAGATCATACTTTAAATAATCACAATTTGAAAGGGAAAGTTGTACCATTATATTTTCGTGCATTTCTTCACATTTTTCTCCATTGTGTCATGCCAGTAAATCCATATGTATATGGTCATACATAAATACACACAGAATATACAAAGGTAATATGTATTTTTCATAGTTTTGACACCTAAGCCCATGTACATAATCTGAGTGAAAAATGTTTTGTTTTGGTCGTCAGCTGTTTCTACCATATATTCATGTATACATGTACTCAGTAATAAGGATATAACTTATTCTTATCTTTGAAATAAACTTAGAACGGGCATATTATGTGGCCTTTTAATTTAGGAAAATTTAAAGAAAAAATGGAGAACAGCTTAATTAATTACCAAAAAACATGGCATTGTCCATTTGTATAAAAGTAAAGAA